ACATATTCTATTTTCGATCATTTATGTTAAAAAATAATTTTTATAACATGGAAGACTATAAACACATTTTTGGGTTAAAAAACTGGAACAAAATCTGATCGCATTCCTTGAAATTTTACCTAAAGGTACAGTAAATTTGATGATGGGACTATAAAAATTACCTTCGCAATGAACAGTTAAGGTCGGTGATGCGTTCCGTTTCAGGTAAGTAAACGGCATGTTCGACAATTACGGTCGGCCGATTGTACCACTCTATCTCATATTATGTACTTCAATAAGATCGAAAAACAGTATCGCCAGTCCTTGTATTCGTCTCAGTGATATCATTTATAAAATAACAATTTTTCTATTATAAAATTTATAGTATAAATGGCACCATTGAGACGAGTATGAGGCCTATCGATGTTGTTTTTAGACCTCATTGAAGTAATACAGAATGAAAGGGTACGAGCAGTCGACCGTAATTGCCTAGCATGTGGTTTGCTCACTTGAAACAGAACGTACCATAGTTTTTATGTAGTCGAGTGCATTGTAGGGCCATGGTGGTCACGGGTGACCACCAGCAAGATCAACGGACTATCGACAAGGATATAACCAGTGGTGAGATTCAAATAATTTAACAACCGGTTCGTAATTTCAGCGTCAACTACTAAAATGAAAACAACAAACTTATAATGACAATTTTATGAAATAACCAAGTAAATACGATTACAATTATCATTTTTACAACCAGTTCGATGAAATTCCAGAACTTTTAGGAAACGGTTCTACTGAACCGATACCAACCAGCTAAATCCCACCACTGGGCATAACCTTATTCAATCATATTATACATTTTATCATTATATGCTTACAGTAATGAAAATTCTATTGTGGCCCCCAGGGCAAAACATATACATAAAACTGACATGGCAGTCAACGGTTTCAGGGGCAACGTATCGCGGAAACGCAATGTGTACCGCACGAAATTAACAGACGATGCAATTTTATCTTATCGTTGCATATCCCTCGGATATCAGATACGTTGCACGTACGTGGAAATCTCACGGTAGATATCTTGGGTGCATTGTTATCGTCGCGGGCGCAACGTCCAATCCGAGAGCATGGAGTGAAGTCGATCGTGGCCGACGAAAGACGCGATCATCGGAAAGAGGAAGGTCGAGGGGCCGAAGTAAGAGGAAAACAAAACATGATCGAAGTATCGCGTGGAAAGGAGATAAAGATAATGTGAGAAAATCGAGGGAACCTGGAAACGAAGAGAAGACAGTAGACTGTCGAATCTCCGCACGAAGTCATCGATCTTTTGTCCTGCATTTCACGATATCCACGAATGCGCGAGTGCGAAACGAAATAATCAGAACCACCGGAAAATAGTATATTACGAACGTATTTAGTGCTGCAATCGGTCAATACCGGGGACTTATTTTAGATTGGCCGATGATCGTGCTGATCGTGCAAGGGAGTAATCAAACGACACCGTTGAAACAGTTGCTTCGATAACCTGATTACCACACATCGTAAGTCTTTCTTATTACGTTTACACGCCCTTTTTTCAAAGGCTTTTTACTATTGTGATCGTTTATATTTAATTTCTTTTTGATTTTCATCTTTGAGAGTTTCAAAGGTCCTTTTGGGGTTAGGGTCTGTCGTGCTGTGATAGTTTTTTTAATATTCGTTCGTACATATGCAGAAAACAACAGAATAAATGATTCAATGGCGTATTCATAGAATTTCGACTTCACTTCTAATAACGTTTTCAAAGTCTTATGAAAAATACGCTTCAGTTGGATTCCCCTCTAATTGATTGGTTATAGGATAATCCAGGAAAAAACGGGAACACCGATTTAAACATTTCCTCGTGATATTGATTGATATGAATTGTTTCATATAAAGAAAAAGTCATGTAATAAAACATTTTTAAATAGATATTAAATTTTAATTGAACACAATAGAATATTAGAAGTTTAAATAAGGAATGTTACAATTAGTTAAGATTTTATGTTTATATGTTAGATAGGTTATGTTTTTATTACACATGTTGGCACAGGTTATTTACGTCATTATTTGTATTTCTTTGAATAATTTTAACATTATTTTCATTTTTTTCTGCATCCCTTACTAACCCCTTGTCTTATATTATAAGGATTATAACGTCGAGTTAGACATGTGATAACGATTTCAAACTGGAGTTAATAAACATGTGTACCATTCATTTCCTTGAGTCGAAGTAAAATTCCGTTTCACTGGTATTAATATTTAAGATTTAGAATAAATGTTACACTCTCCCTAAGAATAAAATTTCTTTTGTATCTGGGAAATTATTAAGCATAAAGTAATTCTTCGTCGTCAAAAGAATCGGAAGGCAAGCAGTTAACACGCTATCAAGCAACGACTTCCTGCACAGACTGTTGCCTACGGCCGCGGCCGGCATCATCACTTTCCATTTTAGTGAAAAATGTTACATACAGTAGCATTTGTTTCCTGCCCTACCGTTATCTGCACAGAAGCCACGCCTCTCGTTCACACGTATTTGTCACACACGTGCGCGTACCCTATTCTGTTGCCCAGCACGCCCAGGCCAGAACATATACGGTGTTAATAATTAATACAACTCGAGCGGTAAAGTTGTATTGTTGTGGGAACGGTCGACCTGATATTATTCTTAACTAGAGGAAACTAGTATATCGATAATACTAATGATATCTGGATCCTGTTATGGGTTCACAATTAACTACACAGATTTATAAAATAACCATATATTAATTAATCAGTCTTTGGTCACAAATGTGTTGTGTAATGTTGTCGCGTAGTAATAAGTAATAAGAAAATAATAACTACTACCGAATAAACGTATGCTCGGTGTTACCGCACTGACGATGTGGGGGTTTGTGAATAGACTTTACAGAACAATGCAAAGTAATAATTCTAGCCGGATTACAGACAAAGTGTTCGAGGTTTACTACTAGGTTAACTGGCTTCGAAAGGGAACTTTGGCCCGATCTGACTAACGTAATGACCAACTCACAAGAATGTGACGCGACGTAACTCTAAAAGCGACGGTACTGTTCTGATCCCCAGAGGGTTGAAATCAACGGGTTTATAGAGACCTAGAAATTGGTGGGGATGCTATGAAATTTCCATATTATAAGGACATCTTCGACGGTTGTTACCACGCCGCGAGAACGGAGTCCTACTCCCCCACTTACTCGAGGGATAATGAAACGTAAGGGCGTTTTTCTTTGTCGGGTGCGAGCTTGGAGATTATTAGAGCGAGAGGCATGAGTGTAAATTCCTCATACGTAACATAGTTCAGTTCAAATCAATTAATTAAAAACAGTTTAATAATTCAGTATCTAACGATCATATGGAAATAATATTGAATAGAGGAAATAATTATCATACCATCTATAACACATGTCACAAAATATGTTATTTTAATGACGATAATTACAGTTCCATACACGGAAACGATATATCGTAATAGAAATGTAATTGTAACTGATAAAAAAAGGTTTCATTATGGAGGATGATTGGGTATATGGTTTATTTTTTAATTTTCGCGCGTTAAACACTAGCCAAATTCGATAAATTTGAAACTACTAGCGCGGCAGAAATTCCGTCTAAATAGAAAGACAAAAATGTGTTATAACGAACGTATGACCCAGTTGAAACAATTTATCAGTGCTACAAAGCGTGTGCCGCGTTATAAAAAAGGATAAATAATAGATAACGAGAGATAAGCTACTGGCCAATTTATCGCTACCGCCAACAATTTTTGCAGAGTGCAACGTACAAATGGAACTTTATGTCAAAACAGTTGTAAATGAGAACGGCCCACTCGCTACTGTAGTTTACTTGGAATTCAGCCTCGAATCGGCGGTTCGAAAAATATCTGATACCCGGAATTGTGACTGCGAATTTTTTTCGCGTGCGGTATTTAAACGTCATGCAACTAGCTCCGTATCAGATAAGAATGATACACATATGACTCAAACAGAATTCTTTTTCAATCGTGAATATATCTAAAGAAACGTTCAATTATATTTTATCTGTGTTCTGTTGATTGTATAACGTAGACCACAATCCTTCCAACACAGAATCAGAGTTTTGCTGTGAAAATAGAAATAAACACAATGTTCTTGGAGATCATAATCCCTAAACCTATATATTCATTATAATTCCTTATAGGAAATTTAACCTTTTATTTATTTTAACAGGAACTAACTAGATCTAATTTCTACTAAGTGCGGAAATCGCAGGAAAGTTAATCTTTTATTTGTTAAACACAAACCAACCTAACCTAACTCCTATCCATCCTTGTACAGAATGAAACCAAACCGCAATTTTAAACATTTGGGAAACGTTTCTTATACGTCTTTTAAGACATTACCATAGCGTTTTTAAAATCTCTTTTTAAACGTTCCCAAAACGTACAAGGAATGTTACTTTTACACATTCGGGAAACATTCTGAGAATGTTGACACAGGACGTCCTCAAGACGCGCCACTTTGTAAATACATTGAAAAAAAACTCAAATTATTTAGTATTTTAAAAACTAGGTTTAAATTTTGTCTAACACAAATTCCAATAAGAATCTGAATTGACATTCATTATTTTCATTAGATTTTACACTTCAGACTAAAATTTTGTTCTTAATAATAAAATCATACGATTCATTTCACCTGTTACTTCAATTATATTCTGTCACGAATAAGAAAGTGTCCGGATATCTTAAAACGGTGGTGTACAGGCACAGGTGCTTCAAACATTCTTAAACAATAAATGGAGGCAAGAATGATACTCTTATCAAACGGAAACAAAATACACACACAATCGTTTCAAATCGATCGCGTACTGCATCAGTGGATCTACTAGTGAACTATTAGTAACTAAACCGACAATTGTCAGGGTCTTTTTCATTCACCTAGTAGTGACATTCGACGACCCACGTGATCGTAGGGTTTAGTGCGCACGCGCAGATCTACGAGCGGGCAGTTTACTGCCAATCTCGCACGTGCGTTCAAATCAATCTAGTCGCGTTCCAGTCGTTTGCAGTATCTAAGAAGGATTTACAGTGTTGTCGTCCATTAGAATTATCCTACTTGAGAAGAACCTTGTGAAAAAACGAACTCGAAGGCTACGGAAATCGGTGAGTGATCGGGCCGATACCGCGAATTAATCGTGACGCTCAGAACAAGGCTACGCGAGTCGTCGTGAGCAGCCCACGTATGATGAGAATATCTTTTTATGCATATGTACGTGACATGATTCGCGAGATAAGTCTTGTAATGAGTGTTGCGCGAACGTTGCGGAATCGGAGAACTTACGCAGCATTTGATTCCTTTATTGGTAAATACGACTAATGTGAAACAATATACGCACCAGATGTTAGTTTGTTATTTCTTTCCACCATCGCGTTGGTAGTCTTTTGTCGGTAGATCTCTCTACCACGGTGCTTTCGGAAACTTTTGGTCTTATGCGTTAATATTATTTGTCTCGAATAACGTGGGTCACTGTTGGCTATTTCCTTGTTTCTAGTAAATATTTCTATCGTTTTAATGCTCGTCACCGTTCTAAATGCGTACGCGGTCTCATAGGTGTGCAACAGTTCACATCGCTTTTTCTTTAGCAACATAAATTATTTACTTAATTATCTTCAGTGACACTGTCGATATTATTAGACGTGTCTTCAGCTATTAGTCTCTTTGTTGAGAAGTACTCGTATTTGTGTACTGTATTGAATTTCAAGGTTGACCTTGCCGATGCTATGTAATCTTCTACACATTACAAACGTAGCGAAATGTCGCGCCTTTGTACAAAAACCTCGTGGTCGTTTCTAATATTTACATTGAAAAAATTTAAGCCAAAACATTATTAAGATTTACGTAGAGATTCGAAAATCTTATTATTACCGATCTTTTGTATATTGTTTTAAAGAACAGATGTATATGTAATGAATTTGTTTAAAAAGAATGTCAAGTATATGTCATTGTTAATTTTCTGTACACATTAATACATTTTGTAAAATGTTTTAAATTTTAATTATAAATATATCAGGGGTAATTAATAATAGATTCATGTACTAACTATTATGAATTATTTCTCTTCATTTTAGTTTTGTTTTTCGTTTATTTTAGTGACTGCTTTATATATCCTTCTAAATAAACTATTTCAGTATTTTTTGTTGCAAGTAATACAAGATAAATTTATTAATTTTTTTAGATTAACAAATTTATTATTGCTCAACTGATATTATAAATGGAAATTGTTTATGTAATTCTGATTATGCCTGTAGTTATTTATATGTTATTTACAGATTAATAGCTATAAAAAATGGTTTCAACAACAGTAATGGAGAATGGAAAATCTAGTCCACCTAGGAAGCCTTGTAGTGTAGGTATTGGTCCAGGCAACTATCAAATAGTGGGATGGGACATGGATACTACAGGCAAGAGAGTTATAGATGAAATATGCCAAATAGCTGGTTATACTCCTAGTTGCTCGTATTCTCAGTATGTAATGCCATATAAGGATCTTAATCCTCCTGCTATGAAAAGACACAATATGAAAGTTGTGACTATTGGAAAGTTCCGTGTACTTAAAGAGAATAAAACTAACAAAGTAATTATCAAATTCTATTAAAGGTAAAGTATTATTGTTTTAATGTGATTGTACTAAATGAAAAATATTTTACAGGTATTAAAAACGAAGAGTGAGGTATCTGCATTAACAGACTTCCTAACTTGGTTAGAGTCTATTAAAAGTGACGCAACAGATGGAGTGATATTGGTTTATCATGAACCACGTAAAGTTATTCCTGCTATGTTGCTTGAATCCTTAAAGAAGTATAATCTGCTGGACAGATTTAAACAAACTGTGAAAGGATTCGCAAATGGGTTCAATGTCGCTGAAGCAAAATGTACGAGCACAGTTAATGCATTTACTCTAAGGACGTTGTCTAGAACTTTACTTAATCAAGTAAGAGAACTATGTTTTATGGAATGTGAATTTATAATGTATTAAGTTTTAGTTTATTTATAACTCTGAATTAAAAATTTATTTAAAAAATTAACAGATTGATGCTTTAAAGTTGCTAAAGTTGATACATTTGTATTTTTTATATACTTATTTATAGCAGAGAGTGAATCTTATATTTTATAAGAATTAAAAATTGTATGTCTTCAGAAGATAAGTATAACATACCTTCTTATCATTTAAGGAAAAGGAATTAGATAATGCAAAAGATAGAGCATGTCTTGCTTTGCAAATAGTACAACATTTAAGTTCACTGGAACATACAAATGGAACTGAAGCAAATGGTAGTGGTGATAGTGATAGTGCCATACAGAAAACTGTAGAATTCATTAGGGAATTCGTTCAACCAATAGAAGTTGAGGAACAAGAATATGCAGGTATATCAGATGAATTGTATGAAAATTGTGAATATAAGGAATACATCAAATAAAACTTTAGTACATAACATGTTGACCTTGTTTCAGAACTGAAAATAGTATTTGAACGTCAAAATAGTTTAAAACCTATTTTCGGAGTTCTATTACGCGTGAATCGTCGTGAACGTCAACATACTAGTCCTTTGCGGCGACTACTTGCCGAAGCTGGAATAGAATATTCTCAACTACAAGTTCGTATAATATCTAAAAACTTATTATTAAATTAATAAAAATGGTAAACAGAAACTATATTTTCTTTATGCATTACAGGAAGCTTGGAGTAATGGAAAGAAAGAAGGTTTGGAGAAGTTAATTAGAGAAAAATTAATAGCAGCAGAGGAAAAAAAAATAGAAGATTTATTAATCGTTCTTGAAGGCCACTTTGACCCCGAAAAAAAACCTAGGTCAAGAATTTTGCAAGACAAGCAGGAAATAAAAATGGAAAATAATAAAATCAGTGACGACCACAAAAATAATAATAAGTGTGATTCAGATACTCACAGTCCAGACACCACTACTTCAAATTCGCCGCTTAAACCGAAATCGGAACTTGAGGATTCTGCGTTTATACCAGAAGAATAATGACTGAACCATTCAGTTGTTACCTTCAGTGCCTTTTACCTAATTATGAGATGAATATTGTTTTCAGTAACTGAGTTTATAATCATTCCGTTTATTCTTTTGATAATGTTATTCGAGCGGGATAAATATGTGAGTGTTATTTGTTGCAGTATTGTATTTAAGTTTTATTTTCGTTATAACAAAGTATATATTGTATCCGCAGAGAATACAAAACTTGACTAATTTAACGAAAAATATGTACAAATAACACATATTAATTATTTTTAGTTTGTGATATAAAGAAATATTTAATATTTGTTTTGTTTAACGATTCATTTTATGCTCATTGTTTTTTATTTAATCAGATTAACGAGTTGTAACGAGTGATGCTTAAAGACTGCTCGACATATAAAATCCATTCAGCCACTATCTAATTTTTCTTTTCATAATTCTGAGATTAGCGCTTAATGTTATTTTTCACTTATTAGTAGTATAATTGCGTACAAAGTACATAGTGATATTAAAAGATATATTTTTGTACTGTGACATTTATTAAATGAATGCATTTGTTACATTCACACGTTAAATTTGTCGTATTGAATACTTAAATAAAGACTTGGAAGTGCAGCGTCGTTTTTAATGACTTATACGCATACTCACCTATATTTTTGTTTCACAAAATTACTTTGTATAATTCGCCAACAATTAAATCCCGTATTACGTAAGGTATAATTCTTTTTGTTCTGGAAATTGAATGGAAATGATGATAACTGCATGTATTAAGGAAAGACAGCAAAAATCTTCAGCGTGACTTCGTGTTATAAACGAATGAGCGCAGCCATCGAGATAAAGCCAGAAATGAATTAAGTATATGAATGCCTATGCAGTGGACCGTTGTATCCGCTTATGGCCTTCCATAAAGCATGCCAAACGCCACGAAGCAGAAACAGGATAGTGCACCGGGTAGTAGATTAAAGAAATATTTACTTCTTAAGAAGACTTGAATCGGGCGAAGCTTAAATATTAAATCGAACATTGCGACGAACGCCTGCCACGATTCACCAGAGATTCATGACCATTTAACAATCATGTTTAATCCACAGAATAAAAAAGATGAGGCGCAGTGAAACGTTTGCTATTTTTCCTTGAAACCACATAAACTATAGCATAGTTGCATACTTCCTACATTGCTAAAGAGTTATAAATGAAGTCAAAAAATTATATCTTTTTATTTAGTATTTATAATTTTCTCAGGAAAGAGGCAACTATCTAATTTCTTACACTTTTGATTATCCACAAAAATTAATGAAAACATTAAATCCCGTAATTCATTTTTATTAATAAAATGCTATTGTAGAGACTTTATTGTATCAAAGAAGATAATAAGTGTTAACAATTTGTTACACCCTCTACCCACAAACTTTATAATCATATGAATTATACAGTCTTCATACAATCAGATAAACATTCCTAATTGATTTTCAAGTAGTGTTATAAAAGCTACGCTTTTGACCATAATTGAGGATAATAAATTATAAATAGGAATATGTATTGCATGTGAAAAGTCCACGGATTACATTGCTAAGGGAAAAATAGTATTTCTGATACATGTATAGCTTGTTAATGGGTTTTGTGTCTGTATTCTCAACCATCACGATATTATTCCGTTCACGAACAGCAAACCGTGCAGTACTATACATTTTTAGTGTGCTGTGATGACTATATAACAGGCAGCGAAATGGAAATTATTGATACTGAAGTCTCATTAACTTAATATCTATGACCACAAGAAACTATTGGCAATTAATATTCTAATGGTAGTGGGTATCGTTACACCTCTCGTTTTTGCAGGAATACTGTGGTAATAGAACAAAAAGACAAATGTGAAAGACGTTGATATAATCTTTACACGTCATAATTAGAAATGAAAAATGAAATTAAAAACTGTTGGGAAATAACAAAATTTTGGAATTTTTGTAATGAAATAATTAAAGCATGTTTTAACTTTCTAGCCATTATGAAGATAATAAAATTATAATCGGCAACAAAAAATCTTTTTTCTTTAAAAAGTGTCCATTGTTTTGTTTAAAGTTTCATTGAAATACAATATATGGTTAAAAAATATACTATCATAGACGGCAATGTAATATAATTGACCAATCTTCACTTTCGTATTTGTATTAAATAAAAAGAAAGTATTAATAAATACATGTGTATGAGTAAAATATTCCTTTCAATAGCATGTTAAAACGAACGACTCACTTTGATATATCTTACTCATGTTTATAAATAGTTGATTATATAGTGTGTTCAAACATCCTTCCTATTACACTTATTACATTTGTCATTTACTTCGAAATCGTTAATTTTGTATTTCATAATGAATATTAAAATTAAACTTAATACTGTTAACGGTAATAAATATTGTATCTAAATTCCAAGTTAGCCAAACCTGCAAAGCCAAATTATCTCCAATGCCTGTTATAAAGTTATTGGCAGCAAATTGAGTAGCGCAGACTCTGTTCCGTTTCTGCCTCCAATTTGACACATGTGATGTTGCAAGACTTGCTGCGAATTCGCTTTAACATTTTGTCAGCTGACGTTGCCTGCAAAACCCAAGCCACATGCGGAAACAGATGGTTATGATTTTTTAGACAACTTTTGTCATTATTTGCTGGCAATTTGCTCGAAATTTGTACACAACTGTACACAACTTATTAGGGTTGGTAAATACTATACATAAAAATATTTCGAATACGTACACCAAAACAAACATGATAAGCATAGGCGTATCGCCTGAACTGAAAAAAGTGGCTTCTGCACTACTCTAGAAGAAAAAATTGGATTTTGTTTCTCCCCCTTCCCAGAAGAAAAACTTATAACCACAGTATTAATTCAAATCAAGGGGAATAAATGTAAGAAGGAATTTTTGTCCGAGCAATTTTATTTTCACTAACTAATAAGTAGTAAATACAATACAACAAATTCGATTATACAAAAGAATTAGTTCGTATTTTTTTCGCTGATATTTAAGAAATACAACAGATTTCTCAATAACGAAATTCAAAGCGTTCGTGGGCGTATTCACTGGCGCGAAAGAAGCGAAAATAAATGCGTTTTTGCAATTTTATTACACCGTTATCCTGTAGTTTTCGCGTGTCTCGGATTTCTGCGTCGGTGGAATTCTTCTCGACTTCCGAATACCTATCGTTCACCCAGCTCGAGTTCAGAACTCATAAACGAATGAAGAAAAACACGTAGGGTGCCTAGTACTCTGAAAGACATACTAAAACTGCACTCATAACGTTAGCATAATAATTTTACTAACTAAACACTCTGACTTTACAATCACTTTTTGTTTGTATTTGGAATTCAATTTATAGTAAAATTAATTTTATTATATTTCCCCTGACGAAAAGTATTTCATCAAACGGACTCCTGTGTGATCAATTCGATATACATATACATATAACACTTTGTCCCACCAAACTGACACCATTACTTTTTTATCGTGGAGATCAGGCTTTGTATCAGTTTCTGAGGTTTTATCGGCATCGACCTATTGTCGTTTCTTCGTGCGATAGTTGTACAATACCCATTTTTCATCTCCAGTGACTACATGCCGTAGGCACTGAAAATTGCGTTTTCTGGTAAGGAGCGCAAGTGCAATGCCACTTCTGACCACACGTTAGTATCGGTCAATTCGTGGGGTATTGTTTAACCCAGCTTTGATACTTCCCTAAGACGACGCAGATGGTCATGGACGGTGGTCTTGGGAAGGCCAACCATGGCGACTATTGCACGTAGACCAACTCTGACGATGATCGGCTTCTCGAATCTTCTGGCTACGACATCATAAGAAAGGATGTTCTGGCCTATAATCGAGCACAAGTTGCCATAAGTCTCGCTGGCAGTGTGTCCTTCTAGGAATTCATATAAAAAGCAAGCGCAAATCGCGTGTTGATCCTTTGCACGATATTTCACCATCGTAACACAAACCCGAAAAAAAAAGACACTGATAACTAGCCCAGAAGGCCCCCCTTAGATACCCACACCACAGAACTTTACAAAATGATCCAAAATGTTTTTCAAACAGTTGTGAAAAATTCATCCAAACAGTTTTCTCAAAGAAAACTCGCAATACTTTCTGGACAATCCAATAGAAGGAACAATACATATTTACAGGCATTTATCATACTTCAAATTCTACTTAGGATTCAGTATCTCCAGAATTGTTTCATCTAAACTTTAGAGTCAACAGAAATTTCATTCAATTTCAATTAATTGTTCCTTTCTTACTTGAAATCGAATTTCCATCCGAAATTACACCCGAAGGTACACACTTGTTCTGATAGAAAATAGAGTAATAAATCATTAGATTCAAAATCGAATAACATTTAGAAAAATTGGTTATTATATTGAGACAATTTCGAAGAAAACCATTTGCATGTTCGATGAAATTGAGATAGAACCATTGGAATATAAGATACCATTTTACCCGAATAATCATTTCTAAAGTATTTCATTCAAATAATATTCAACCCGAAGAATTACCCCTGTTGCAGTTGTACTAAAAAATTCATCTCACTCTATATTCCTATAAATTTCATGCTTGAAAAGTACAATTCATTTCCGGACAATTCAATGAACATCCTTTTATTGGAGTCAGCCCGTGCGTGAGTTTTTGCCGCCACGATAGACGAAGGTTTCTGTTTTTATCGCGAACACTTTCCTGATATGTATGCATGTAACGGATACATTTTCCGTCTTGGAGCGTAACAAACGATAACGGTAGACGATTATTGCTAAAACCCCACTCCTAACCGGAACCCGACATAATAAACGTAATTACAATGAGTACACGGCGTCATAATTGAAACGGTTCCCTCGTTAAAGATATGCGCGCATTTGCTGCGCGGGCAAAACGATTCGATTTAGTTAAAACGTAATCGTTTCGCGCCCGACACGCATGTCCGACAATCGTTCACCGGTGCCCGATAGAGACTAACGGAAGAGCAATTTCGCACGGGGATTCCTCGGTGGTACGTATAGACAGAAGACGCGTGACATCGGCCAGCGTGCTCTATCAGCCGGTCTGTGACGGGCAACAATAAGCCGTCACGAAAATCACCACGTTGACGGCGCGGCGTCGTCATTCTCGCTTTTTACACGGGGGCATCTGACGCCGACTAATGAAAGCTGCAGCCGCTCCGCGAAAAATTAAACGCCATGAGACGGAAAAGTTCGTTGCCTGCTATGGCGTTTCAAGTTTGCGGAACAACGACGGGGGAGGGGGGGATCAAGTTATTCAGAGCATTAAACGATCGAATTACGGGTTGCAAGCACGCTGCCGCTAGACCGAACGGAAGGAGGAGAAGGAACTTTTTCCAAGATGCAGGAAGAATGTTATTATGGAAAACATGCGCGCGGAAATTTAATCGAAACTCGACAATGTAGAAATGAAGCTGCTAAAAATAAGGAATGCGGTTGGAATTAGAATTGTGTACTATTAATTCGGGCAGTGATGTACTATTTATGCTACTCGATTCTTAAAACGCTTAAGAGGTACAGTTCTTATTGAAAATTTTACCTCTGTATGGAAATTTTAGGAAATGTATTAA